AAAAAGTTAGCAAACTTGAAACAGAAGAGGACCTCCATAACCTAAAGGTTATCTATTAAAAGATCTATAGCTAACATCATACTTAACAGCAGATGTCTGCTCCCACAACTCCTATTCAGTATTGTACTGGTTATCATAGCCAGTGAAATGGGGCAAGAAAAGGAAGTAAAAGGCATACAGATTGGGAAGGAAAAATGTCTTTATTCACAAATGACATGATCTCTGTAGAAAATCTCTAAGAATCTACAAAAAAGCTCACTAATAAATGAGTTTAGCAAGACTGAAATATACAAAAGTTAATCATATTCCTATATACCAGCCACGAACAATTTCCATTTGAAATTATAAAAAAATTCCCATAGCACAAAAAAATATTTAAGTAGAAATCTAACAAAATATATGTAGGATATGCACACTAAAACTTACAAAACAGCAACAACAGAAATCAGAAAAATAAATGGAGATCTTTGTTAAGATGTCAATTCTCCCATTTGATCTATAGATTCTATACAATTTGATTTAAAACCCTGCAAGCTTTTGTGTGGATATTAACAAGTTGATTGTAAAATTTATAAGAAGAGGCAAAGGAAATAAAAGAGCCAAAAATCAATTCTGAAAAAGATCAAAGCTGGAGGACTAACACTACTCAATTTCAGTGTAGTACTGAGGAAAGGATACACATATTTATCAACAGAACAGAACAGAGACTGCAGAAATAGACCCACAAAAAGTGTCTACTGATTTTTAAAAATAGCTTTAAGTATAATTTACCTACGATAAAATTCACTTAAGTGTACAAGGCAGTGATTCTTTGTACATTCAGAATTGTAAAACTATCACCACAGTCCAATTTTAGAACATTTCAATAACTCCCGAAAGGTTCTTTCTCCTCATTCCCACGCCAGGCAACCATAATCTACTTAGTCTCAATAAATTTGTCAACTTATCTTTGATAAATATGTAAAAGCGATTCAATGAAGAGAGTCTTTTCAAGAAATGGTGCTGTATCAACTGGATAAGCAAAAATAAATCTTCACACACACCTCACACCATATACAAAAATTAGTTCAAAATGGGCCAAAGATCTAAATGTAAAACATAAAACTGTAAGACTTTTAGTGGAAAACACAGAAAAAAATCTGCATAACCTTGGGTTTGGTGATGAGTTTTTAGATAACAACATCAAAAGCCCAATCTATTAAAAAAAAAGAATAAAATGGACTTTATCAAAACTAAAAATATTTGTTTTTAAAAAAGACACTATTAAAAGAATGAGAAGACAATCCAGACTGGGAGAAAATATTTGCAAAACACTTATTTAATAACGGACTTGTATTCAGAATATATACTGAACTCTTAAACCTCAAAAACAACCCAATTTTTAAAATATAGGCTAATAATCTGAACAGACAACTCACCAAAAAAGATATATAGATGGCAAATAAGTATAAGAAAAGACTATCAACATCATTTTTCATTACGGATATGAACATTTTAACCACACAATGGTTAAATGGTAACAATGAGACACCACTGTCACAAGAACTTTCATTTATTGCTGGTGGAATGCAAAATGAGTCACTTTGGAAGACAGTTTGGCAGTTTTTTATAAAGTTAAATATACATTTACTAAATGACTAAGTAATCCCACTCCTAGGTATTTATCAAAGCAAAATAAATTATGTTTACATTAAAAACCTGTACATTAACATTAAATGATTAACAAACCTTGACACATCCATACAATGGAGTATTCCGCAATAGAAAGAATTATTGATTCACATAACATGAAAGAATTTAAAATACATTTTACTGGGCAAGAGAGGCCAGACTCAAAAGGGTACAAATGGTATGATTCCATCATGTCTATGACATTCTGGAAAAGGCAGCATTATAAGAATAGAAAACAGATAAGTGGTTGCCAGGGGTTTGGGAGTGGGAGCAGTAGTTGAGTACAAAGGGGAATCTTTAGGGTGATGAAATTATTCTGTATCATAGTGGGGTGACAGACATATGACTCTATGTATACGTCAAAGCCCACATAGAGTGAGTTTTACTATATGAATAAATAAAATCAACTAGGATGTCAGAGAATCCCAGATGTAATGCAGAGTGTGACAAAGGAATCTGTTTTATAAATGTGTGACATAACCTCAATGAAGGAATAAAAGGAGCCAAACTTAGTTACTTTGAAAAATAGGGTTTTGACTGGATACTGTAAGGCTTAAGAAAAAAAGTTCTTAAACACTATAGTTGGTCAATTTGTTTCTCACACAGCTATAAATTATCTATTCTGAAACTTCTTTATAAGTATACTAGGGTTAAACAAATAAGTTGTGGCTAAAAGGAGCCAAGTTTTCCACTATCAGAGAATGAAGTTAAAGATAAGCAAGGAGTTAAGGCTAGAATGAACCCTGTGGTACTGGATTACAGTGAGTCCTGACTTACCAATGTCCACAGGTCCTCATACAGCAGGTCTTCAAATAACATTGTTTCCTTCAATGTCATTTCATCATAATGTTGATGAGAAAAAGAACGGGTTTCACTATACATCGTTTCACTACAAGTCAGAGTTTCCAAGAATGTACTGACAACATTGAATGAGGATGTATTGTATTGTCAGTATATTCTGTTTAACTTAATATACACACAGACAGGCAGATCTACAAATAGAGAGATGTACCAATACCTATGTATTGGCTAGTATACATATTTGTATCCCCTAGCTAACTGAGAAGGCCCAGAAGCAATGACACGCCAACAGCAGTAAGCACACCCAACATCCAGATCTTGGTTTCTAAATACCACTCTCCAATAAAAAGAACCAAGATTCCTTGCAGAAATGGTTGACTCTACCGCTGGAGTCCAGATAATACTTGTAGTGTCAGAAAGTAAGAATATGGTCTTTAAAAAAAAAAAAAGACACGTCAAAAGGATTTAGAAGCCAACCTCAAAGAGTTTCCAATCGTCAAAGCTAAAACAATTTACACAAGAAAATAAGTAACAGCACTGGCTTTTAATCCAAAGGATAAAACAAGTAGCCATGAACCCATATTAATATAAATGACCAAATAAATATATAAATGGGAGAAACCATTTTCTTTAAAAAAGAATTCTAAATAATATAATAGATACCCCTCCCTCCAGGAAATGAAGCTAAATTTCCCTCCCCTAACTGACCAGTAGTCAGGGCTTGACTTAGTGACTGCCTGCTAAAGAATAGAATATAAAAAAGGGGAAAACAGTATCTTACAGTGGGAAAACCAAGCAGATACCATCTGAACCAATGAAGGAACATCACCAGTGATACATACTGACATCACATACTCCATGATAAGATACACTAATGAGAAGGACACATCGCCTCTGTCACATCCTTTCTCATAAGCATAGCTTCAATAAAATCATGAGAAAACATCAGATAAACCCATGTTGAAAGACATCCTACACAATAACTGACTAGTAGTACTCTTTACAGTATCAAGGTCATGAAAGGCTGGGAAACTGTCACATACTGGAGGAGACTCAGAGGCACTGTTGACTAAATAAATGCAATGTGATATCCTGGACTGGATCCTGAAACAGAAGGACATTAGTGGGAGAACTAGTGAAAGTCAAATCAAGTCTGTAGATTAGAAAATAGTATGGTATCAACGTTATAACAATTTCTGAGTTTTAACAGATGTGCCAATAGTTTACATTAGGGGAAGCTCAGTGAAGGGTATAGGAAACATCTCTGGACTATCTTTGCTAATTTTCTGTAAATTTGAAATTACTACAAAATAATATACATATATATATATATATATATGTATGGGAAAGCCACAGCACTGAAAGCATGGTTGTATTTAAAATTAAGAAAGGAACTTTCAAGAGATTAAACACATTTTCATAGTAATTTGATCAACACCACAGTTTATTTGTAAACATGTTATATGTGTCAATAATCAAATTGACACTTCATACATTTCATTGTATAATACTAACATCCTAACAGAAAACAACCCACTGTATTCAGTTACAGTTTTGGTACTTTAAAATTTTTAAATACAAATTGTATTTGAAACACTGAACACAAAAAAGAAACATGAATTGCAGAGAAAACCAAAAACATCAAGTAAAAGAAACCAATACTCCCCCAAAAGACAAATACAAAATCATCTAGTTACATATTAAAAAAAGAAAGAAAGGAGATCAGAAGACTATTTTTTAAAATGATATGAAGTTGCATTGCTTTAGATGCATTTGAGAGGTGAAATTGTACCATACTAAATTCTGTGTCCTTTTTAGCCAAATGAAATTTCTTGAAACATTTGCAAAATAACTGGATACAAATTTTTCATGAATCATCTTTGGCAAATAATGAAGTCTACATTTTAAATTTACCTTCGTGTTGAATTGGATCAACATTTGCAAGATTTAAGGGATTACATGTTTTAATGTATGAATAAAACAAAGGCAAATTCTTGCATAAAGTAAAGCACAAACATCAGCATTTCACATTTTGCTAAGAGCTCTACAAATGCAGATTCTCCCTCTTTAAGAGTAACAGAGGTCTTCAGCTGGGAATAAGATGATTACTCTTTCCTCATTCAACACAAGAAACTAGAGTTGACCCCATGTTTTTTCAGTACTTTCCCTAAAATTCATCATCATTATTAGGTTCTATTTCTTCTTCCATTATTTCTCAAAGGAAATATAGCAGCAGATCACTCCCATATTTTAAGCTTTAAACTCACCAACTGGTTCACGGCCAACAACTACAAATGTTCAATTTTTTATTAGTGTACATGTTATTACAGTTGATTTCTTTATATTGTTAATACAGGAATAAATAAAATAACTATATTTAATTCAGACAAAGCAAATTAAAATGAGATTAAAGAGCCCTGATCAAATAAAATACTCACAACTGTCAGTTGAAAAACCGTAAAAGTTACATACATACATACCTAATAGTGCCAGGAATGTACACTATCAATTATTGGAAAAATAAATGATTCACAGTCATAAGAAATTATTTTAATATTAGTATGTATTTTCCTTTTCTGGACAAACATAACATACACATGGTTTCTACCTTCTATAGGACAAAGTAGAAAACTAGATGCTACTGCATTTACCCCAAACACAGCACTGACTGTGCCACAGATAACCTGGTCCGAAATATTCAATTCTATAGATAGGCCATGGTATTGAATACATGGTTATGATAAGAGTTTTAAGAAAGGCATATATTTCCAGAAGTACGTTAAATACACAAATATCAGTTCTATAAATAACAAAAATTATCAGCAAAAATGTTTAGGTTATATAATAACATTCCCAAATGTTCTAATTCTTTAAGTGTTTCAGATATATCTTGTCTAACCAGTTAGTTTGGTTACAGTTTTAAACTAGCAAACCATTACCCTATAGGAGAAGCTAAACTATAACACTGCACGAACTTCCCAAGCAAGGTAACTTGAAAAGTCTAAAAAGTGATTCCAATTATTCTAATTAACATTTGTGATACTAAAAGAATCAATGACTCAAGAAACACTTTGAAATTCGTCAATTTTTCTTTATCATTTCTTAAAAAACTATTCACATAAATTTAAGATCCAGATTGCTTAAGACTATGTCTTCAAAGTAGGCTTATCACTGAAGTGTTTGGATCCGAAGACACAGCCTTAATGCTTCTAATATATAATTCTAATCTAAAATCACAATCCTTGGTTTGAAAACATCAAAGCTAAGAACCAAAAAATAAATCAGGGTTAAAACGTGCAGCAGCTACAGCTACCAGAGTGGAAAATAAATTCTATTTTTTTTCCATAAAGACTCTATGAAAATATAAAGCCCCAAATGAGTGACAACAGAAGTCCACATATAAACAGTGTTCAAAAATAGAATGTTTTCCAAAGCTTCTTATGAGATGTCACTGAATAGTCATAGTCTAAGACCTTATCAAGGTTAAATTATACATAACTATGCTGATTTACATACCTTCAACAACGTTCAACTGATATACATAATTTACAGACGTCCACAGGAATTCTTAATGCCCCATCATATCATCTCTCAGTATTGGATGTTTATTGTTTTATACTTTTACTACTTTAAGTACCAAGAAGCCTTTTCAGAGGAAGAGTTCTATCTCTTCCCTTGATCCCCTAAAGTATAGGTAACAAAATATAAAACTAAACAAGACTTTATGTTTGATAAACTAACATATAAAAAATTACCACTGTAATATTCATAGTGACTGCTTATAAACATAACAGTCATCGTAAAGCCTATAAAGTACATCCTTAGTTTTATAAAAGAAACGCAGATTGTCTCAAGGTAAAAAATACAGTGCTGGCTGCTAAAAAGCACTTTGTTGCAATAAGATATGCATAATGAGCAAAACTTCAGAAAACATGAACATGTTCCCCAAACTTTTACTATCAGTTAAGCAAGAATTGCACTGCAGCAGCAGGGTGCTTTTTAGTGGCTGACACCATAAAGCTAACGTTCAGAAAGAAAAAAGGCAGAAAGTGTGAGCAACAAATGGTGTAACCAAATTATTGCAAATGGAGATTAGCAATTAGAAGTGAGGAAGGTGACTGTCCACTCCATTCTGATAAGATGCCATCTTTAAATATTAAGTTTTTTGCAGGAAGTGGAACTCCCATATCAGCATAAGATGACTGTGAAAGCAAACTCGAAAAACTGGGCTCTGCATGAATATCCAGTGTTGAAGCACCTTCCTAAAAGATCAAGAAACATAATCTATATTCAATACTTTACCAAACCACTTAATATAACTAATGAGAAATATAGACCTTGATTACCTAAGAAATGTTTACGGAATGCAAAGCACTACAGGAAATGTAAAGAGCTACCGCATGGAGCCCCCTCAAAAATCAATGACCTGATAAGCCTCAATAATCAATTAATATATGCAAAAGTGACTAATACAAGTCAGACTGTAGTAAGTGCTTTGAAATAAACAGAAATAATGGGCTATGAAACTATGGGATAAGAAAGAGTTAATTCTTAGAAGACTGAATCTACCTTAAAGTTTTACTTAAGGGGAGAAAATTTCTAAAAAAACTAACGTAACGCTAAGCACCAGAACAATCTATCCACTCCAGGCTTCTCAGATTCATATATTCAGCACAGACCTCTCCCCAGAACTCCAGGCTCAAACATCCATCTATCTGACATCTCCTCTCAGATGTTTCCCTTTGCATTCTAAACTTGGCACATCTACCAGTGAACTCCCAAAATTTCCCCCACCCCTTCCGCCCCAGGCTTCTCTACTCCACACGTTGGGTTAATCAAGAAATATAAGAATCACTCTTGATCCCTCCCTCCTTCTACACCTCTAATCTTTTCCTCACATTTAATTCACCATCAAGTTTTATCAGTCTATCTCTAAAACATACCCCAAATTAGTTTACTTTATTCATTCACCATAGCCAAGGCCAGTGATCTCCAAAATGGGGCACTCATTCCAAAGTAGGGTACAGTATTGAAAGAATTTTGGAATTTCTCTATTTATTGAATCCTTATAAAATTTCTATTTTTGATATATACATAATTTATTTATACAAGTATATATGTGTAATAAACAAAACTTTATTGAAGATCCATGCAAAATTTGGTGTTTTCATGAAAAAGGGTACTCAACTACCAGTATTTCTTGCTTAAGCTATTATAATAGCCGCTGAATTGAACTTAATTTCTACCCTTGTCCCTTTCTGAACTATTCTCCAAAGAGTAATTAATATTTTAAAACAGTCAATCAGAAATGTCTCTCCTCTGTGTAAAAGCCTTTAATCATTTCTCTTTGCACTGAGCATATCATACAAAATCCTGAACGTAACGGCAGAAGACCCTCCACACCATGGCCCTGACCTCCTCTTCAACCTCACCTCTTGCCACTACCCCTCTTTCACGAGGCTTCTGCCACACTGGCCTTGTTTTGTTTCCTTGTACACTGAGTACTTCCCTGACACAGGACCTACGTATCTACTAAGCTCTGCCTGAAATACTTTTTTCCATCACTTAGGTTTTGGCTTAACATATTATCTCCCACCATTTCAATTAGGTCTACCTGCAGATTCCATCATAATGGAATGCAGGTTTGGCTCCTTTAAAGTACTTACTAAAATCTGTAATTACTTATGTATTTTGATGTTTATTTGACTATTGTCTCATATCACACTATAAGTTCCCTAAGTGTCTTACACATTACTGTTTCCCTAGCACCCAGCAAAGGGTCTGGAATAGAGAGTAGACTCAAGTTTTATTAAATGAATGAATGCAATAAAACTCCAAAATATTGATTTCATAATGTTAGACCAGACATTCTGGAAATATTCCATTCTAAAAGTTTATATATAAATCAAGTCTAGAATATCCTTTCTTTCCTTGTGGGGAAGACAAAAGGTCTACAGCACTGGCCTTCACTGCCACAGCAGACAACCCCCTCCTGGCCGTGGGTAATACTGCAATCATTAATGGAGTACACCATAACCAAGAACCAGCACCCAACATGGGTGCACAGCCCATAACAGATGCTTAACACATTTCTGTTGAATAAAGCACTGACACAAAACAAAGAGATCAAGCTTTGGTCTCTGAAGACCTGGACAATCAGATGTGCAAGTAAATTAACTTCTTCAACCTCAGAGTCTTCACTTACAAAATGAAATTAATGCTTATTTCATATCTTGCTGCTGTGGAGGCTGAAAAATAAACATGGAAGTGTCTTGCATACTATAAAGGTCTATACAAGTACCATCTGGACTTTTTGTTTTCTGTTACCTGGAATGAGTGAACAAAGTTAAGGACTTGTAGAGAAAGTTTTCTACTGGAATGTAAGAGGTTTTGAAGGCTAAAAACAAAAAGGGAGAGAAAAAGTTTAAAATAAACATAATGATAAGAATATCTCACAAGAGTTTAATTTTAGCAATTTAAATTCATTTACATATGTATTTACATCCTGATTAATCACATTAAAAAATTTAAAAACCAATTTCAATGCTTTTCATCAATAAAATGTCTGATCATTCTAATAATAGGGAGTAGTAATGCATAAAAAGGTCATTATGAAATATAAAATGTATTGTATTAATATAACCAAAATTGAAGTTACTGTTTAAAAACAAACATTTCCACTATTAGTAAATTTAAATGTTAAATGAAAGAAAACTTTTAAAATAAAGATTTAGGCACTTTGAGGAATGACAACTATGACACCCTTCAAATAGCCAAAATACGGCCAGGTGCGGTGGCTCAAGCCTGTAATCCTAGCACTCTGGGAGGCCGAGGCGGGCAGATTGTTTGAGCTCAGGAGTTAAAGACCAGCCTGAGCAAGAGCGAGATCCCGTCTCTGCTAAAAATAGAAAGAAATTAATCGGACAACTAAAAATATATAGAAAAAATTAGCCAGGCATGGTGGCGCGTGCCTGTAGTCCCAGCTACTCGGGAGGCTGAGGCAGAAGGATTGCTTGAGCCCAGGAGTTTGAGGTTGCTGTGAGATAGGCTGATGTCATGGCACTCTAGCCCGGGCAAAAAGAGTGAGACTCTGCCTCAAAAAAAAAAAAAAACAAAAAACCTATGTGTCATCTCTGAACCTATGCGTCACTTCTCATTTTAGAAAATGTAGAAAGTGAAGAAAATGTTGGAAAGTTGCTATAATTCCACCACAAGAGATAATCACTATTAACATAATACAACTTGAGGGTATGTTAAGAGCAAGAAAAGTACACAAGAGAAATTTTCTACATATATATACATATGTTTATATTTATTTTAAAAACTAGGTTCATTCATATTCCATATAAGCATGCCCATTTCACCACAACCTCACCAAACCTGGGTAACTAAGTAAATATAATTAACGAAACTACGTGGCCAAAATGTTTGTGACTGATTTCTGATCTAGTGAAATTTAATTTTGAAAAATATAGCAAAACCCTTAAACTAGCAATCTGCACAAATATATACAGGGCAATTACTACATTCATGTGTGGAATAAAAGAAAGCAAGATACAGTAACTATTCACTGACAGCCTAAAAGTCAAGTAGATGAAAAGATTATAATGAATATAAACCTCACCTCTCTTTTCTGCAAAGGCCATGTGTAGCAATTTTCCTACAAACTTTCTGGTTTAATTCAGAACTAAACAGTGGAATTCCAAAACACAGCTCGAGAGGAACCCAATCTACTTCTGTTATGGCACCTAAAAAAGGATACATAAACTTTTTTAAAAATCATATATATTTATATATACCATATGACTGACAAGGGTTTCTTGACCTGAAGTTCATAGATTCCTCCTGCCCCAGGGATATCCAGCAATGGGCTTGGCAGAGGAGGGGTACTCAAAAGGGGCCACTTAATCTCTGTATGCACTTGTGTCTGGGGAGAAGGTACACAGGTTTCAACAAATGTTCAAGGTAATCACATGCCCCAAAAAGAATATTGCGAGACATGTGCAAGACGAAAGAATGAATCAAAATATTTAACACAGGAATAATGAAATTTATTATTTTCAAGTCATAATTTTATACTACTTGAACTGTTATTTTAAGTATACAAAAATGTTTCCTAGAAAACTCTTATTAAAAAGTCCATTATGGATAATAATAGAAAAATGACATGCAAATGACCTGACTTAAAAAAGTTAAACTCCAGAAATTACTCTAATAAAATTGCAAAAAAGTTTTAACACCTTACCAGAGATTTGCTTTGTTGCTGAATCTATAGTTGCTTCCTCAATGACCATTTCAAATGATTCTGTACTTCCATTTACATCTGAGCCAGAAGCTAAATCAGGTTCTCCTTATAATTAAAGGGAATATAAAATATTAGGATTTTAGGAATTAGCAGAAGTTGTCAATATATCAGTCTTACCATAAAGAGGACTTTGGGCAATAGCAATGATCATGGGGGGGAAAAAGAATAATCTTTGGCCTAAAGTGGTTCTAAACCAGGGATGCAATTTTCACCCCCAAGGGACATGCTATTCATGTCTATAGATGCCAACATTCAGCATAATCCTCCATGACAAAGAATTATCCAGCTGAAAGTGCAAACAGTGCTGAGGCTGAGCAACTCTAGTCTCAGGAAATAAATTCAGAAAGCAGGACACAAATTTAGACTTTCACTTAGATCATCATTAAAGCTGTTTATATCCCTGTGGAAATATTCAGTCTGATTACGTTAATCCTCTTCAGAATTCTTTTTTGACTCCTCACGTCTTTCAGCATATAAAATCCTCCAAGATCTCTTAGACCTTACCTAACTCTCTACTCTCATCTTCTACTGCTATCCAACAAATCCTTTCTTTTGGCCATGATGAGTTACTGTTTCCTAATTCCCTCTGCCTGAAAGGCTGGCACTCTCCAAAAAAATCATCATCATCATCATCATCATCATCTTTTGTCCAGCTAACTTTTCATTTTTCAAAACTCAGTTCAAACTTTACCTTCTCTAAGAGGCCTTCTCTGGTTGCTCAACTGGGCTGAGACATTACCTCTCTTGAGCTGCATTTGCAGTTTAAGGAGATCCCTATTACTGTCATTAACACTACACTGTAGGCTGATTCAATTGTTTGACTCTCTTTTAGGATTTTAGTCTTTGGAATAAAATCTGGTCTAATTAATTTAAATATCTCCAGAACTAAACAGGTATTCCATAAATGTTTGTGGAATGAATGACATAAAAAATGTCAGCTGTAGTAGACCTGCTTTGAAATGACTGCCTAAGTCATAGCCCTCTTCTCTAGAAAATGCCCCTGCAATATTTAGCAGTCAACTATTGAAAGCTACCCTCCTCCCCTGGCCAAAGATAAATGATCCAGGAGTAGATATCTGTCACAAAGGGAGCCTGTCTAATCCACTGGATGGCTAGAAATCAACCACATTTTCTCAGGATTCCAAACTAAGAGGCTCATGGAATATTGTTAATCACTGGCAGACATTTGAATTGAAAGGTCTCCCAGGGTCAATGAACAAGAGCCAGCATCATGGCAACCAAAGCCACATATAAGCCAATATTTATGCCAGAGCAGAAACAATCAGCATAAGAAAGTGATTTCAAAATGGACTTTCAAATGGAAAAGAAAGTAGTATCTAATGAAAATTAGCTGTTGTCAATATGTAGGACAGACTGGAGAGATAAGGAGAGGCCAGGAAGGCTAAGCAGGGAATGAGTACAATAATATATGACTAAGGTATCCAGACCCAGACTAGAATAGCAGTTATAGAGAATTAAAAAAGAAGAAAGAGGAGAAGAAATAAACGAGAGACATTTCTAAAGTGTAACTCACAGAACTTGGAAATTAAATGGACATAGCAAAAAAAAGAAAAGGATGAAACAAAGATTTTAGGCCTGGGTAACTAAGACAATGGTGCCTCTGACAGAGGAGAAAAGTTGAAAGAGAAAAACTATTAAGTGTATTTTGTAAACATTTTTACAAAGAGTCTTGAGTTTTGAAATCATCACCCTGTAAAACTAACTTAACTCAAAGCCTATAAAACACAGATGTGACGGTAAAGGGCTAAAAGCCCAAAATCCATTCTGTATTCCAACCCTATTCTCTCCATTTGAACAACTGATATTTGTCCAAATGATGTTACAGAATATTTTCTCATCCTTCAGTGAAAGAACATTAAATAGTAAATATTCAACATCCCCACAAAGGTCTGCTGCTTTTTATATATTAAGGGTGTGTTAAACTCAAAAACAATTATCTTAATTCAAAGAACTATTGGCTAACCTCTCTCATCAGAAGCATCACTGAGTTTTCTATTTACAAGTTGGCTGGAAGCATTCAACATGGTGACATATCCACAGAAATGCTGCAAGTCCACTTTGTTTCTTAATATTTGCAATGCTTTATGAACACCCATATTGACACGAGTGAATTCTAAGAACAAAGAGGTGACATAACATTAGTGAATAGTTTTATAACACAACACCAACTTAAATATACTTTTCTTTGTTCAACAATTCTTAGAGCTACTTTTACACTGTAAGATATCAAGACTGATTCCAGTGAAGAAATATATGTGAATGCAAAAGAATGTTGTTCACATATGACATATTTATAATCTTTAAGAAGCATTTACGAAACAAATTACCTGCTAAATAAGCAAATAAAGCCAATCAGTGGCAAATTCTCTAGACTTCTCTTTGTGGTTCTATTCTGCCTGGAAAACTTACTTGGTGGGCTTCTATCAGGAAATGTATTAAATACAAATAATATTTTTTAAAAATTTAAGAAAAACAAAATTATTCTTATTGAAACTAAAGCTAACAATGTATTTGAAATCATATGCGTAAATAATTTACATATTAGCTCAAGTTCTCATACACATGCAAACTTATAAAAAAGAAAGATACTCTGTATCAAAATATGAAGATACCTCTTTTTTATGCTTCAAACAATAATCTCCCAAGGCAAGGGATCCATTAATCAGTTGAGATTTTATATATTTTAAGACCCTATTTTCACTATCTACACCTTCAGGTAAATAAATATTTTTTCATTAGAACTTATAAAGTGTTAGAAGATTAAATGGCAAAGTTTAGTTGCAGAGAAATATTCATTTAGCAATAGGGGCTATTTTGGGAGAGAAAACTCTTCAGGTTTTAAACATATTTATTCACAATAGGCAAAAGAAAGAAAACTCTTAATTTTAAACATGAGGCTTCTGCAGTCTAGCCATATGAAACAGAAAAAGATATTTATAAAATCCTCCCTTTTCCCTTCTTTGGGGGAGTGGGGGAAAGTGGTGACTAACATTTTAGAAGAACAGTAAGTTCTACAAAATAACATAAGTTAAATTACTTGAACCATTCACTATTCTCTAAAATCCATGTAATTAATATGGCTCTAAGAATCAGAAAAATAGATTACAGTATAGCAGTTTTGCATGGAGCAGGAAACAGAAGTTGTATATAAATATATGTAAGTTTTAATCAGATAGTATTTTTCTTCTGAATATATATAATGTCAATATTCAACAGAGAAAATGTATCTTCTATATTATAAAAGAATGAATATGCTTTTACAGAAATTCTCTGAGCATCTTGTATCAAATGTACTGTAGCTCACATCCATTTCTAGAAAGAGATAATGTTAAACAGGGCTTTCTCGCATTCGTTATAACAAGCTTGATTTAGCAAAAACCCTGCATCCACTCAAATCCCCTCTAATAGCAAAAATAAAATTTAACAGCAAAAATAAATGCTGAAATGAGAAATACATGTAGGTGTTCTATAAACTACAAAGTAGTATACAAATACAAATGTTCCTTAGCATCCATTTTTAAATTACCTAAAAATTTTTTTAAGATGATCTAAAAAATTAAAATATGAAACCATTAAATTTCTAGCAGCAGTCTATATGCATATACAGTGTGTACATACAGATCAATTAATCTGTAAACTGACACTGAAAACTTTGCATTGAACATTTTAAAACCGCCCCCCAGAAAAAGAATGTATGGAACATTGAGGGAAAAAAAATCAACTTTCTAAGCATAAAATCTTTCCTATGACTTATGACTTACCTTCTTCCCCAACCTTCAAGTAAACAGACAATAAAAGGAAACTAAAAGACTCAGCATAGAGAAAATCGAGTCTTTCATCTAGGCAGATAATCCACTTGTTATCTTCAACTCCAAGACAGACTAGTATATTTTCACAGGTCCTAAATGGATCTTATTCTATCAGTTTCTTTGTGGATAAAACACATGACAAAAAACTACCTTTTGCTGATACTCTTTAATAGCAGAGTAGTAAGAACCTAGAACTTAAAAATTTTAAGAATTCATTTCCTGCCATGTTTCCCACCAAATTGTTGACATAATTAATGATAAGACAAAAAGTCAATGAATACAATTCAAAAGGTACCTCCTTGTAGTTCTGTTTCATCAAATGGAAATGGTATATGGACAGTTTCTCCTATCCCATGCAAACCATGTCCCTAAACATAAAGAAACAAAAGTTGAAAGGTATACGAGAAATCTACATTTCCAAAAATTGATACTAAAACAATAAATAAGATTGTGGGATTACAGGATGGTATATTCCACATTAATACTTCACCAAAATGCTTTCAACGATTTTCTATTTTTCTATAGCAAACAATGACAATCTTATGTGTATATTAATCTATAAGGCAATATTTCTCAAATTGAGCGTATAGGCTGATAAAAAAAAAAACACACGTAACTTAAACATATGTACACCCATAATTTGCTGAAATAAAAAAAAAAATGCCTACATCCA